GGAGGACAGGGCTCAGGAGTGTGATCAGAGGTAGGGCGGGACTACCCTGCAACACGGGAAAGGCTGGAGCAGCCCACCAGTGCCACGGCTACAACACGGACTGGTCCCTCTGTGACCCAGCCCCTGCCTCCCTGATGTTGAAGCTGTTACTCAGGGTTTGAGGTTCTCGGGGGCACAAATTTAAGGAAGGAAGGAAGATGGCAGCATTACTGTGAAGAGGGCTGAGACCTTAGAGGGAAGATGAATGGTGGAAACAGCTCCAGACATACAGACTAAAGATCTGAGTTAGACTCCTGGATCTTCCACTTGCTCATATGTGTCTGAACAAGTCACTTCCTCTCCCTGTATCTTGCTTCCTTTCTTTGTGAAATGAAGATAAGACCATCAAGACCAGACATGAAGACTAAATGCAAAAGTACTCTGTGCTCAGTAAGTGCTCAACAAGTAAACGTCGGGGCAGCATGATTATGGACTTTCTGCATACAAAGAACAAAGTCCTGTGTCTATAAAGGAGGAAATGTGGAAATGAACTTCTTGTGAAGAAGGAGATTTCACAAGGAGTTGGGTGCAAAGAAGACATTCTTGACTGTTAAGGATTATCAATCTCATTTTTGGCCTTTAGGAGGGTCAAAGGATTTTAACCCTGCAGATATTCAAAAGAAAAGACAGGGGGCTGTGCACCTGCCTGGTGTTCAGGATGTTGGGGATTTTCTGTGGCTCTGGAAATTGGTGTTTCTCTAATAGCCTCAGGGAATAGTCCTCTAGCTGCCAAATCTAGGGGGCTTTCGGCCTGCGGGTCTCTGAATAGCATCCCACCCCCCTTTTCTCTACATGTAGTTTTTGAATTATGGGCTATTCCTTCTGAAAGCTAGCTGGTCACAAGCTAAAAAGAACTTGAAGCCAGGTCCATCACTGATAAAGGAAACATTTATTCACTTCAAACTCACTGGTCCACTCTCGCAATTCCAGCTGTGCTCTAATCCTGTGCTTAATGTCTAATTACAAAAGTGAAATAGGCTTTCTGCAGCTGCCATCCTGGGCAGAGGGGGCTCCCCAGTGGCTATTTTCCTTGTTCAGGGTATCTGCCAGTTTTACCAAGAAACTGAAGCTCTCCAGAGCAGAAAAAGGAACTTAAAACTTAGGATTTTAGCAATGGAATACATATGACACCAGGTGAGCTGCCCTAATTTAGGTTTCCCAGCCTGATAAGAAGCCATTCAAACAGCTCTACTCCGGGCTGGAGACTGAAGAGGGGACAACCTTGGCGGCTTGCACCCCTTGAATCAGGAAGATTCGAGTGAGCTAATGCCTTACAAACAAAGCAGTTAAACTGGCTCTAATTCAATTATGAAGGCAAGGTTCTCCATCAACCAGCTGGTACAGATGTCCCAAAACTCTTCATTCACAGAATCAGCAACAGGAGCCACAAAGAACCACCCCTGGACACACTGTCTTATGGGTCCAAGACTGTTCCTAACCTTCTCCTGGCACCCAGGTCACTGCTCTTAATACATATGTGTAGAATACACAGATGAATGGCTGGGCTTCTGGGGGCTCTTCGGCTTCCTTGCATTCAGAAAAATGTCGGATCATTGAGGAAAAATAATGGCTGAACCTTACTGCGCACCAGGCACTGTCTTAAGTGCCTCAGAGATACTCGTTTAACATACTATCACCCCATGAAGTAGGTAGTATCATCATTGCCCCATTTTACTCACAAGGAAACAAGACATTAAATAATGTGGCCTGAATCACACGCTGATTTAGACAAGGTCATTTGGCCCCAGAACCCATGTGTTTCAGTGTTGTGATGGCTACCTCCTTGAAGAACGGGCTATTCTGTTATTGAAAATATCCGGGGCCATTGATGACTGCCCATTATGGAATCTCTCACCCCACAAGTGAATGGGCTGCCCTTGCTGGACGCATTGGTGCACACCTGTATTCCCAGCGGCTTTAGAGGCTAAGGCAGAAGGATGGTGAATCCAAAGCCAGCCTCAGCTAAGCAACTCAGTGAGACCCTGTCTCTAAATAAATACAAGATAGGGCTGGGGATGTGGCTCAGTGGCTGAGTGCTCCTGAGTAAAATACCTGGTACCCCGTCCCAAAAAGGGCTGCCCTTGGATCTCAATGAAACTTCTCTGCTTTAATGCCAATCTTATTTATTTTTTTCTTTGAATGGTTTTTGAGCTTTCCTTGTTCCTTTGTAGGCATGAAGAATATTCTCTTCACAAACACCATTCATATTCTTAAAAACAGGCTTTAAACCCCCACTTTTGAATTATTTTATTTATGTCAAAATTCTAATCCACTTTCTTTTTTCTTTTTTTTTTTTTCCCCTGGCTGAATTTGTATTTATTTAATTTTTTTTAATTGCTTTTATTTTTTTTAAATACATGACAGCAGAATGCATCACACTTTATTTTTTCTTCTACAACTCGATTTTTATTCTTCTATTGTTTTTATCTCTGAACCTGCTATAAAATGTAGAATAGAAATGTGCTGTTGGTTCTTTCATGGAACATTCCTTTTTATGAACCCTAACATTATGTGAATTTTTTTCCATCAGAAAACTCCAGTGCTCTGTTGTACATGCAGCCTGTAGTTCTGACTACAGACAGTGCCCTCTGCATCTCTAAGCATGGCTTCTGGAGAACTTGAGCTCCTCTCTGTGGCCTCAGTTCTCTCCTTTTCTTTATGTAAATCAGTCTCAGGTTGCACCTCAGGTTTACTCTCTACTTGCCTTTGGGTCTGTGTTGTTGGGTTTCATCCTCTTTGTTTTGTAGATCCGTCAAGGTCACTTTAACATTAGAATCTCATCTTCCAGAAAATAGGCAATGTCACCTCAATTATTCTTCCTTTTCTTCTCTGCTGTTGAAAGCAGTAACTGTAGATTTTTTTTTTGGGGGGGGGGGCTTCCTCCTAGCTGTCTGTGCATTATGATCCACGAATCCACAGATGCTCTGTGCATTTCCTTATTTCCTTCTCCTATGACATGGGCATGTGCCTGGAGGAGAGCCACAGTCACCACATAGAGCAGCTGGTGACATTCTGGAGGGGCTTGACCTTCTCAGTCACACCTACAGGAAGCAGGAGCAGAACCCCACCCCTGCCTCCTCTATCCCTGTCCTCATCCCTGAGGTGATAGATGCACAAACTCTAAAGCACAGGACCTGTCAATCTCAGGTGACTGCCATATAATCTCATTTGCAATATAAGGATGAGCAGAGATTGACAAACCACTTAGGCCAACACAGTCATCTCTGCAGGAAGAGACTGCAGGCCATAAAAACCCTCTTCTCCATTAGTGTCACTTTGATTTCCAGGTAATAATGCCTAAGGGCACCAGTGGGACTCCTCAGTATGAGTTAGTAATATTTAAAGAGACTACACCCACCCAAAGCAGAGCTGCTAATAGTATGCGTTATATCTGGAATATATTAGAGAAGAAGAATTGTAAGCAACACTTTGGCCAAAGGGCTGAAATAGCCAAACAGAGGCCAGTTGCTGGAGAGGGAGTTTTGTTAAACTGAGGCCATGGGGCATGGGTGGGAAGTTGGGAGGAAGGAAGATGCTTTTCAAAGAAACGGAAGTTGCTGGACTGAATTCTCAAGCAGTTGGTGAGCTGTTTATAATAAACGTCTAAACTTCAGGCCATAAATTCAGCTATGCGAGAAAGTAACTGAATCGTTTAGAGCTGAACCTAAATGTCTACTTGGAGTTGTGTACCACCGAATTAATTGTCCCTCAACCCCACCCAACCATCCTAAGGACTCGGGTCTTGCTGGTTCCCAGGCATAGCTGGTGGGGTCATCATCATCTGTCCACATGGGCTTCTTCAGAGAAGTCTGTCATTCTGTCTGCCAGGTGGCCCTTGTTCTAAGCAGGTCACCACTGGCCCAGTCCCTTACTATTTATCTGTAGTAAATCATCAGGTCTGCCTCCACCTTGACTCTAGTCATGTTTCTCAGAAGCACAGACAGCTCCATGAAGCCTCCTGACTCCTTCTGCCCTCGTGCTAAGGGTGTCTCTAAAACACTCTGGGGACCTCCATTTGCCTGAGCTTTATTCTGAAGCAAAGTGTGAGTCCTCTCTACTTTTGGATTCCCTGACCTTATGGAGATTCTATAGGTGGACACATATGCACACACAGCTTGGGTTCCTGCACACACTTACACACACACATTTACACACACACACACACACTGTTTATTCTCAGGGACATGCCAGAATCTAAACTCTTATCTGTTCTAGCTAAGGATAGAATAGTGGCACTGAGGGTTTATAGTATGCCATCTCTTACCAAAGAGTTCTTCTAGGATTTTTGCTTATAGTGAAGATTTTATGCACCAGCTCTTTAAGGTTTAGGCTTTTGAAAGTTTGTTTCTTGAAGGTTAGAAGCCTTGTCTCTGCTTTTCCTATATGAATCATCCCTCCCTGAGGGCAGTGAATACTGCTGACTGAACAGAGGGAGGGCAGAGTATAAACAGAACTGGTGAAGGAGGGAGTGGGAAGCCCCATTTGACTGTGGAACAGGAGCACACTTTGTTGGAAGATTTTAGGAATTCCAGGTTGCACAGAACCAAGGGAAGACTTAAATGCTCTTGGCCCATAGAGCAGATGTGGGGAAACTCTGACGGATAGCACATGCTGTAAGAGATGGCTCAGGGTCACTGGGGACAGGCAAGGGTCATCTGCTTGGGCACTAAGCTTTTTCACTAAGGCTATGCAAGTGAAAAAATGGGATTTGGCTTTAGGTTAGAAACTGGTCAGTTCTGTGTGAGCTTTTAATTTCTTTATTGAAAACTTTTATGGTTTCCTTCATATAAGATGCTTTGTGGCTGGAACCCTCACATGACTCATTTTATAGACTAATCCTATAATTGAGGGTACACACCAAATGGCCTAAGACACCCTCATGGAAAGATGAGCTCTCCGCTCTCCGTGTGGGAACCCATGTGTGTGCAGGGGTTACTCAACCTTCTTGAATCCTACTTCAGATGGCTATGAGTTCCTGGAGATCCTGAAACAGGTGGCCCGGGACAACACTGACAACCCTGACCTGAGCATCGTGTGGATCGACCCAGATGACTTTCCTCTGGTAAGTGGCTCAGGCCAGGGCCCCATTTCTGGTCTCCTTCAGTCTCATGTTTGTGTGTAGCATGAGGCTCTCATGCATGAAGGAGGAGATAAAATAAGTAAGGGCACTTAAAGAAGCCCAGGGTCCACCCGTTATGGTGTGGGAGATCCTGGCTCATGGGAGAGCATTGAACTTGGGGCCTGGTGCAGTCACTGAAATGGCCAGACTTACTACTGTTCTCATAACCCAGAGATAGGAGTTGGAGACTCTCAGAGAGACCCACCCAAGTGAGCAGGGTGGATTCCTTCTGCCATTCTCCATCGATGCCCCTCATCCCACCACTCTCCCTCCCTGTAACTCCTTTCATTTTCTGGGTGAGGACCATCATTTTTGTGGGAAGGGGGTACCAGGGATTGAACTAAGGGGCACTCAACCACTGAGCCACATCCCCAGCCCTATTTTGTATTTCATTTAGAGTCAGGGTCTTACTGAGTTACTTAGTGACTCGCCATTGCTGAGGCTGGCTTTGAACTTGTGATCCTCTTGCCTCAGCCTCCTGAGCTGCTGGGATTACAGGCATGCACTGCTCTGGCCAGCAGGAACCATCATTTTGAAGCAACTCGAATTACTACATAATAAAATCCAGAGATTAATATTTTTTTGTAGAGTTAAGAACTTGGTGGAGAGACCTCTTTGAGGGCAGAGATCATGCCTACCTCATCCATGGTGCGTCCCCCAGGAGCTGGGGAGTATCTAACATGTATTAAAGGTGCAAGAACCTTAGAGTCCGAACTCTAACCAGTGTCAATGATCAAGGAAGCTTTCATTATGCTTGGCTTTAAAAAGAATAAAGAGAATTTGTATGGTACGTGAATCCGGTAGTAATGATTATGAATATAGATAATGCCCTCTACTGGGTGTCTGCAACTACAGGGAGTTCTGTCCATGCACCATCACAACTCCTCCCCTCAACAACCCTGTGACACAGGTGCTATCATGATCTCTATCAGACAGATGAAAAGAATGACAGCTGAAGAGATTTGCCAACCTAGGTCTATGGTGATCATTTCCAGTAGAGCTAACTGCATGTAATGAGTATAAGTTATCATTCAGTAAATAAAAACTTTATCTCCCAGGAATTAATATTAGTTGTGTAGGTTATAAATGATGATTAAATCCAGAAAATCATGAATACTATGAGTAAATACAGAAAATTGAGGGATATAATGATCTCAAGTATCCTGATATCCAATCCTGTGTGGAGATGGGTGAATCAAAGGCAGAGACTTCTATGACACTTGAAACCAATGTTGTAATTCTGAGTAATTCTAGAAAGTCCTGGCCATATATGACTGAACAGAGCACAGCTTTTTTTAAAAAAAATTTTTTTTTGCTTCTGCCTGGTTGTATTTCTTGTTTATCTTACTATTTTGTTATGTAAGCTTGTAGATAATCTGCAATGCTCTTGGTCACTTCTGTGTGTTTGACTTGGTTTTTGCTAAGGAGTAAGCTTAACACTATTGTGATTTCCAGATTCCTGAAAATCTCAGTGCTCATCAGTCCCTATATTTCCCTGGGACACTTTTTACCACAGGGTATCTCCATTTTCTCAGCCCGATGGCCTCTGGCTCCTGCAGTCCTGTCCCAGATATTTGTCCACATGGAGCCCAAGCCTGGCTGAATGAAGAAATCTTCCTTTTATTTATTTTTTATGCCAACTTATGGTAGATCACTGCTTTTTTTTTTTTTTTTTTTTGGCCATTTCTTGTATCAAAGTGGCACAAGATAAGGGATTTTTTTCGAATGGAACACTGAGAGAGAGATGGAGGGAAACAGCTTTTTCATCACCCTTGAACTATAAAAGAGCCACAAGTAATTTGGGAATCAATGTTGGACCATCTCTGTAATTTTCTTCCTTACAGCTGTAGAAGCTTTTATATTATATGTTTTCGTAGTTTGGGCTATGACATCTTTTATTAAGTGCTTATTTAAAGTGCCTGAGGGCTGGGGCCAAGTCTTCAATTTCCTAAGTACCCACAAGTGTGCGGAAGACCTTGAACCAATGGTGACCCAGTTACTATGGTAGAATGGCAGGTGAGTCCAGCCACAAAAAGTGGCTGTAACAGGGATCACCCTCTGCTTGCTGTCTAATCTGATTTTGTTGTTGTTGTTGTTGCAGCTTGTTGCTTACTGGGAGAAGACTTTCAAGATTGATCTATTCAAGCCACAGATTGGGGTTGTGAATGTGACAGACGTGAGTATCTCCCATGAAGGTTTGCTCAGGCACCCTCAGCGGGCATGGTTTGCTGCTCTGTGGCCCAGACTGTGAGATCATCAGCTGCTTTAGCGACGGGCAGAACCCTTGGCCCTGCCTGAGCTCGGGAAACTTGCCACTGTGGCCAAACCTGGTCTCTGAAGCCAGTCTTAAGCTACAGTTCCGTGGCTTTGCTCCCTGGGTACATTCCCTTGCTTGAGACCAGCCTGGTCCAACTCATCCATCTATAACCTTCCACCCAAGAAAATCCTCTTCCCAACGCCAGACAACAAGGTCTGTTCACATAAGGGAGCCCACACCTGGAGCGGTCATTGCATCCCCAGCGAGGGGTCGTTGTGGTGCAGAAGCTCATGCAGACAGCTGTCCCACAGCTGGAGAGCAGGCCATGAAGAGAAGGAAGAAAATCCTACACAGTTAAGGGGATTCTTCTCACAGTTCAGGTGCTGGTGAACTAAGGTGAGAAGAACCAGTGAGCTGGACTGGCAGAGTGTGAGGAATTTCAGACCTCAGTCCAGACTCTGATGCAATTCCACCATAACAAGTGAGAACAGATTCAACCAGGCAAACAGCAGACAGAAACGATGATCACCAGAGCCCGCAATAGAGCCATAGTAATTGAAGTCGACCATCTTGTGAACAGGGACCATTAGCAATGTCCTCTCGCCTTGTTGTTAGTTGTTCAATCACCCAGGGAGCTCTACATTCATTTACTTTGTAAACTACTTTTAAAATTAGTAATAATAAAAAATAATTTTTAAAAAATATGCTTTCTGGGCTTGGTGGTCCATGTCTGTAATCCCAGAGATTTGGGAGGCTGAAGCAGGAGGATTGCAAGTTGGATGCCAGCTTCAGCAACTTAGTGAGACCCTGTCTTATCGTAAAAAATAAAAAAGGCTGGGGGTGTAACTCAGTGGTTCAATCCCCAGTACCTAAATATGAATAAATGAATATATGTTCAAGTTAAAACAATTTAAATAAAATAGGGGGGTATAAATGAAATAGGTGATATAAATGATAAAAATGAAATAGTAGGATAATAAATGAAAAGGAAAAGTGTTTTTTTTCCCCCTCTCACTGCCTTAACTTCATCCCTAGTCCCATTCCTTGACAAATCATTGGTTCTTGTTACATTGAGTTTGTTGTTATTTTGTTTTGTTCTGTTTTGTTTCTGCAGTACTGGGGATTGAACCCAGGGGCACTTTACCCCTGAGCCATATGTCCAGTCCTTTTGATTTTTAATTTTAAGATAGGGTCTTGCTAAGTTGTTTAGATGTGCGCTAAGTTGCTGAGGCTGGCTTTGAACTTGCAATCCTCCTGCCTCAGCCCCCACCTCCACCCTTCCAGGAGCTGGGAGTATAGGCATGCACTACCATGCCTGCTGGTTGCTGCATGAGTGTCCTACCAGAAATTTCATATATGTGTATAGCCACTGGGCAGTGGGATACACATTTCATTTTATGTTACTCGAACAGAGCACTGCACATACCATTCTGCACCTTGGCATTTAACAATGTGTACATATTCCTGGTAGGTATAAGAGACATGGGGGCCACTCCACACAGCTGCTTGGAACCTTCTGGTCTGGCCCTGCCCTCATGCACCTGCTCACTGGTTCATTGTGTCCCCTGCTGCAGGCGGACAGTGTCTGGATGGAGATTCCAGACGATGATGACCTGCCCACAGCGGAGGAGCTGGAAGACTGGATTGAGGATGTGCTTTCTGGAAAGATCAACACTGAAGATGATGACAATGAAGACGAAGATGATGACGATGATAACAACAATGATGAGGATGATGATGAGGATGACGATGATGATTCTGATGAAGAGGAGAATGATGACAGTGATGATGATGATGAATAGCTCTGACTCCAAATGGTTCTGGATGAAGACAAAATCCCAGCCACCTCCAACCATATGATGGCCAGGGTGGCAGAGAGCAGCCCCGCCTCGCACCTAGCCGACTCTGTTCCTTTTCCCAACAATGTCTCCCTGCTCATCAGGAGCGATACAGTTCAGTAGATGCCTTTTCAAATCCAGCAGTCCAACTCAGCAGGGACAGGAGAGGCACGTTCCATGTTGACCTGTCCTGACTGTCACATAACAGTTCTGGTTCTTTCCTAGACCATCCAGGGTCCTAGCCATGCCTGAATCTGGCAGTCTGGGCAGAACCATCTCCTAACACCTCTACTTAAGTTTACTTGTCACCTTTGACTGAACCAGTAACAGAGATGACCCTTTGCTAGTTCACAAGCACGGTGTGACCTTGTCATCAGAGCCCAGGGAGGGCACACTATTTATCAATTCAGCCCCCAGACCTAGAACATCGGTGGACTCTGACCGGAGCCCTTGGATGGCTATTGAGAGGCCTCAGGACTTCTGTTTAGGTGTCACTGTCATTTCCAGGCTATTCGGATGCTGGGGCGGGAGGTTGATTTGCTCTCTGAACTTCCTACCAGGTGACAAGTCTCACGTATTCACCAGCAGTGGGGAAGAAGGGAAGAGACTGAAGGCTCAGAGGCTCTTTATTTTTCTCCTGGGAATGGGCTACCCCTTAGTCTGAGCAGGGCATTGAATACCCCTTCTCTGTGCTGCTAGTGAGCCTCCCCATGTAAAGGTCGCTTTATCCAGTGGTCAATTTATCAGCACTCCCACAGTTGACCAGGGCAATAAAATAATTGGAGTTCATAATGATGCCCTGAGGCCATGGGGAAAGGGAAAAAAACAAGACCCAAAGTGCCTTCTGAACTGTCTAAAAGTTACGTTATGCTTGATAGGTTTAGTATTAAGTGTGCAGTACAATTTCTAATTTATTTTCTCAATCTGTTAACAAATATAAGATACTACGCAAATTTTTTGAAATTAGGGCAAATTTTTTTTTGTGGAATAGTAGTTAACTAATGGTCATTAAACTCGTATTATGAAAATATTGAGACTACCTTGAAAATCCTGTCTTGGTTTTTCGGATTCCATTCATTCTCCTTTGATCCAGTCCTTCCTTTCTATTTCTTCTCTGTTTTGTTGGTGTTTTTTCACTGTCTCTGCACTCTGTCCACTCGTCCATGGCAATATCACCCTTGCACATCAACTACCACCTGTGTGCTACTCCTTTCCAATATAGCTCTCTAACCTTGACTTCTTTCTTGCCTTAGTTTTAGATCCACTTGCTCAACTGCCTCTGGTCATCTTGGTTCTAATGCACTTCACACACTTCAAACTCAACACAACACAACATGTAGTTATTACCGTCCACCTGAAACAGCTTCTCCTCCTCCTCATGGAGTCCCAGTTTGGCCATCTCTACCGTTGTCTGTGCACCCTGTTCCCTTCTGCTTCCACGGCATTTTGTGCATGCTCTCTGTCATGACATTTATCATTTTAATTATAACCTATATTTGCGCATCTGTCCTTTCACTAAATTGCAGGCTCCCTAGAAGCAAGAAATTTACTTATCTTTGACTCTCCAGTACTTAGTACTTTGCTCATCACAAAGTAGGTGCTCCTCTATGGAGCTAATAATTGTAGAGCTATAATTCCCCAGCACTACTGGATAATGGAGCTTATAGAGTGTATTAGGCAGCTTGGGCTGCTATAACAGAAGACCACAGATCCAGTGGCTTAAACAACAGAAAATTTTCTCACAGTTCCAGAGGTCAGAAGTCCAAGATGAAGTTGCCAACAGGGTTGGTTCCTGGTAAAAGCTCTCTTCCTGGCATTTATGTTCTGGAAAGGCCTTTCCTCAGCAGAGACAGAGACAGAGAGAGGGTGCACAGGCAAGTTCTGATGTCTCTTCCTCTTCTTATGAGGATACCTGTCCTATCAGATTGGGCCCCATTCCTATGACTTTATTTACCTTTGATTCCCTCCATAAAGCCCAATACAGTCACATTGGGGGTTAAGGCTTGAACATAAATTTGGGGAGCACACTTTGGTCTACAATACAGGGACTCATTATGTATGTATTTCTCCTCTCACAAAATCAGGGAGATGCTCTTCAAGCTGTACTGTGTTGCTATCCACCCAGGTCCAGTCACCCTAAATAAGCTCTTAGAGAAGGAACTTTACAAAGCAGTCCATGATGCTAATCCTTCATGCAGCCAAGGAGTGTGGTCCATAACTAATGTGGTCTCTATTTCACAGACAGAGAAAATTTCCTCATTCTCAGAGGCCTGAGAAATGTGCATTAAGTTAAAATCTTGTTATGGTGCTCCCACATTAGAATCACAAGGAGTTAAGCCAGTCCTGTCTGTAAGTCCTAGGGCCTTTTAGTCTTAATGTTTTAGGTTGGCAGTCATGGAACATTTGTTATGTACCTAGAGTACTATGTTAAGTGCTTCACATGTGTTATCTCATTCTCATTTAATCCTCAGTGGTTTATGAGACACATCTTGCTATTGTCCTTATTTTACAGATGAGGAAACTAAGACAAAGGACTCAAGTAGTTTTCCCATGATCACACAAACACTTGGAAGGAATGTAAATGCAACCCCATTTTTTTGTTTACAAGGATTTAAATTAAATTGATTCCTTAAAGATCAAAGGATTGCTTATTTTTCTTAGATACTGTGCAAAGATGGACTCAGTGAATTTCCCATAATATTTTTTATTGCTACAACCAAATGCCCCTTTTTCTTTCATTCTGAGACCATAATCAACTTAAATAACATTTGAAATGTGGACTAATTAGAAACACAAGATTTGGCCATGCTGTTGGAAAAAGAAAAAAAAAAAGAGATCAGATTCATTATGTTATCCAGAATGAACATTTTTAATGTATTACTGTTAAAAAAAAAATCCCAGAACTTGAAATGAACTTGTCTCTTCTGTAACAAGCTTGTGTCCCATGCAGGTCCTTGGGAATCCCATCATGTTAATATTATTCATTATAAGTCATTATCAAATGGTTTTTGATCCACAGACCCTGACAACCCAGATTCCTCTTAAATGCTGGTTCCTGAGGCTCTGTCTGAAAACTTAACATTTCCAGGTTAAGTTCCAGGGTTTTGCAGCCCTGTGAAGTGAGCATCAGGATCACACTCAAGTTTTTTTTAGAAAACGCAGACACCTCTCACCAGCCCAGAGCTATGTCCATGCCATCCCCAAAGCTGGGTACTGAACATCTCCATAGTCACGGGGACTGACACAAGCCAAGGTTGGGGACCACCCAACTTCCCACTTGATTGGGTCATCTTATCCCACCTGTGGCTTCCCCACTTCCTCTCTCTGTGGCCTGGCCTCTCTGAGTTCTAAGCCCCGAGTCCACTGCCTCTGGCAAGCTTCCTCTGTGTGTCCCATGGGCATCTGGGATCAACAAAGCTTTGGGGCTCTAAAGCGATTTCCTTAAAAGGTAGCTCTCTTTCTAAGATATTTACCAATTGAAAAATCAGGTCAAAAAGTCAGCACATTCCAAAATATCACCGTTATTATGGAAAAGCAGAACTTAGGAGACTAGAGTTTAAGAAAATGTACTTCCCAGTTTCCTGCCCCCAACTGAGCCTGCCTAAGAAGGATCGAAAGGCTAGACCCCCCACATAGGAACTTTACCCTTAGAAACTTGGACAAGAGGTGGTCACCTACTAACCAGGACAGTAATCAGGGCTAGAAAAAAAAGCTCAGCAGCATTTTGGAAAAGGTCCATCTTCGTAAAGCAGGGTGGTGGGAAGGGGCACCCCCCTCTGACAGTGTTCAAGCCAGAAGCCCTAGGGCCCTTCAGTGCCTCTCACTCCTACATCTGGTGGAGAGCAAGCCCTGCCCTCCTCTCTTCCACTACCATCACTACATTGACAAGGCTTTTTTTTTCTCTCATCTGGATTCCTCCAAGGTTCCAACTGGCCTCTCAGCTCCAGTCCAGACTGCGTACTGAAATCAAGTGATCATTCCACAGCAGAAAATTGATCACGCCATGCTCATGCTTGACATTTTTTAATGGCACTCTATTCCTGATATGCTATGCCATCCCGATAGATGTTTAAACATTATTTTTTAGCCTAAGAGGCCAAATAGTAAACTCTGAATGGAAACATTTTGACTGCCAAATGTGGAGTCTAGGATATGGGGTCTGAGGTTGGGGAGGAGTTACAAGTATGTCTTGTAAAAACCCAAAGTCCTTTCCTCCCTATGAGAAGAGCCAAGTCTGAGTGGCACTGAGTCTAGTGATGCCAGACTCACAGGTTAGAGAAGCACTGGACTAGCTGGCGTGACCTCCACCATATACATGGATCACACATGGAGTGTTCATCTTGGGATTATGGCATCCAACTACCTAGTTCAGGATTATGGCACCCATTTGTTAATTTAGCAGAAGTCAAGTTAGCACCAGTGGCAAAAGATAGGGGGATAAGTCTACCTTTGTCATGGGAAAAAGTCAATTTCCTCTGTAGGACTTCTAAGATCAATATGAGCTGCTTCCTGTCACATCTCTCATGCCATCTCCCACTCCCTAACCCTCTAATCTTAGAACCTGAAGTTGGTGGAAGCCGCCTGGTTGCTTAAAACCTCCAAGCCTTGTGGTTCATGCCCTTCTGTCTGTTGGAATGCCTGTCCTGCCCCAGCAAATTCCCGGCTGTCTTAATACCCTGACCCTTTTTCAGTCATGCCTCAGGCAAAATGGCCATTTCCTCCACTGAATCCTCACTTCATCCTGCGCAGCCTTCTCTTATGGAATCTACAACGGATTGACCATTCATTCCCCAGCATGTTTCTCACTTGTTAGTCTGAAATTAACCTTAGGGAAAAGACAGGCTGATTTAGTTACATCTTCAGTGCCTACGTTTTGATAGGTACTTAACAAATCTTATCTAAATACTCTTTAATCACAATGCAAAGTGAATTTTATAAGGATTATCTCTAATAAGAATATGCAA